TTTTTTAAATAATATAGTTAAATGTGAAAATGCTTTTGGAATGTTTAAGTGTACTGTATATATTCAATATGATGGTAATATTGGTACAATAAGAATACGGATGTCAATTTCTTGCAATAATATACTATTTTCTTCCCTGGGTATGTTATAGGATTATGAATAGACCCAAACTTTCACAAAACTTAACTCATCCCATCTTTAATTTTCAAAATTCAGTAAGACAGTCTTTAACATTTGGTTAGATTGTAATAAACAATTATTTTAAAGATTGAAGTCAGAAGTCAACTGTTGTAGAAGTCAAAGTCTTAAAATGTTTAATTAAATATGCCTTGAATAAACGTAAGTTTCCATTTTAGAAAACATGTTCAATTCAACTCAACCAATGCTTATTGAGCATTGTGCTTTGGGAGTTTTATTGATCAAGGAAAAAATTTGACTGTGAAGCTATTGTAGTAGAATTGGTGAACATTAATAGTTTTTGATGATGGGGGAAAGGGTTTCCAAATGAAAGGCATTTTTACATCAAGATTGATGGTGGCTGGTAGTGTGAACTGAGGACACAAGAAGCGTTGAAATAATGTAAAGACTTTTAGCTTCCACACTGAATGAGTGACGGTACTATTAAACAAGATAGAAAATAGAAAAAGAAAGGTTTGGGGAACATGAGAACGTTCAATTTTGAATCTTTTGAATTCATGTAGAAATGAATACAAAATGTTTCTTTGTCCTTGTGAAGATTATTAAGAGGGCATTGTAGATTTCTTGAAATTCTGGGCCATGGGGCAGATCTAGGCCATGTGATAATGAGAGCAGTTACCTTTTCCCTAACCCCTATAACACAGTTAAATCTCAAAGTTTAGCACATAATTGCATTTTATCTTCTATTATAAATATTCTAAATCCCTCTTGTCTCATCCTGAGATTATAAACATTTAGTAGTGCTATTAAAGTTCTTGTAGTGGACTCATTAATTACTACCACCACAGAATCCTAAAGAATTTGTTTTTCATTCTGTATTTGATGCTACAGTGGTAAGAGCCGTGAGAGATTGCTGTCATGCATTCATTCATTCATGCTGTATGCAAAGTATTGCTGCTTTGCAATTGGGCATGAAGAATTAGAGGTTCTTTGTTTCTAGAAGTAGATACCACAGTAAAATCTTATAAAATATTTTATTCCTTTTTCAGAAATGTATTATTTCACACTTTAAAATCCTTTTAAATTTTTTGAAACCTTAACATTACTTCTGGTGGAGAGGGAAATGTTGAAGGGAGTGAAGAAAGTGTAAGAATTAACAAGTTTATTTAAGCAAGTGTGAAGTATCTTAAGATGTTTCCATATATTGACCTCTGCCAGGGGTATTCTTGTCAGATGTGATTCTGACAGTCAGGTCTGCTTAATGTCTTTCTTTACTGCTATTTTGCCTGATTTTATTTGTTGTTCACTGTTCATACTACTGTGGCATGCTGATGGAACGTGGGAATTAAGAGCAGTCTGAAGTCATACTGCCTTGGTCCGCATGCCCTTGGGTTTATTACAAACTCCCTGAGTCTCAGGTTTTTCCTCTATAAGCGAGGATAAGCACACTACGTGACTAGCTTATGAAACTGTCTCATGAGAAGTAAAGTGTTTAGCACAGTCCCTGACACATAGTATATATATGCAGTAGATGTTAGCAATGATAGTGGTGAGTTATTGTATACCCTGACAGTACCCTGTCTTCCTTAAAGTGCTGTTTAATGTTCAAGTAAGATAAGAAACATTTATTTTTGAAATTTTATTTTATTCAGTAATTGTAAATATCATTTATTGATTTTTATATTACTTTTAGTTTTAAAATTGTATCATGCATTTTCCTATCTTGATATTTTTATAGTCAAATATGTTTATATAAGACTTTTCTTTCTTGTACATTGATCCATGGTATAAAAAGCAGACAGCAACTGAGCAAGACCCAATTCTAAAAACAAACTTAATAAATGTAAAGATATTTTGGTCTCATATTTATAGAAAATAACCTCCTCTGCTTCTTTCCCCCTCTCCCCCATCATACCCAATTAGCCGGTCTTATAAGAAGCAATCTTATAACCTATTTTATAGGAAACCTGTGCGGAATAGTGATATGGGTGCATAAGAATAAGAGTAAGTAAAGACGACAAATAAAGCATATAACAAAGCAGAACAGGAACTTCCAGTAGAGGGAGATGTAGGCAAAATAATTGAGCTACATCATGTGCAGGTGCAGGTTTAAAAAGAAAGATTTCCCTGTATTAAAAAAAAAAATCTAACTAATAATTAACTAAATATAAGCTAAGTAACACTGATTTCTGTTTTGCTGGTAGCCAATCCCAAATTGATTGTTCAAGTACCTAGGGAAGCACCTTGAGGAATAGATAAACCATTACAATTGGCCCATAACTTTCTCACATACAATTTCAGAGATGGAAGGAAGTAAAGGCTAGATCATCAATACCTCTCTCTCTGACTCTCTAAAAATAGCAAGTAATGAAAATTGCAGGCTGGATCACTTGAAAACAGAGAAAGTACAGTAGCTATATTTCCATAATTGAAAAAAAATTTTCATAGAGTTCTAGACTATCTGAGTAAATTGATGTTAGCCCTAAATGATGTAAACTATTGGACTGAATCAAAACACTGTCCTTTAAAAAAAAATCATTGTTAAAAAGATATCATTCTAATTTAGATCTTTAAGTTTTCAGAAATTGGTAGGAGGGCCATAATTAAAGTCAAATTAACAGCATTTAATTCAGATTGGATTGGAATTTTTTCAAGTTTTTTCAATAGGATAGCTAAGTTGACTTGAATTTTACTTTTCCAACAGAAACATCACATTTCTTTCTTTTGGCAGCATTGTCCAATAACTGACTATTATAATGGTCCCTCTGCACTTTGAGATTTAATACTCTTATTCTATCACACTCTAAGAAATTGCTGCCCTGGAACCTGGGGATGTTGAGACTGCCCTTAAGCCTGAGAGTCTCACTTAATTGTTGACTGAGTTTTCCCCTTTTATCATGCCCCAAATTTTTTGATGTGGATTTTATTACTTTTGGCTGAGTTAGTACATTTAGATTGTAAAATGTCCACAGAACTTTATGTAATATACAAAATATATCTTAAATAAATTTACTATGGTAATTTTGTAATCTTAAGTTATATTTAGTTGATTCAGAAATGGAAGCCACATATCTCTGTTGTTTTCATTTTTATTAATGAATGTGGCGAACATTCATATCACCAACTTAATAGATATTAGCTTAAATACATAGTTTTCAATTCAGATTTCTTCAAACCCTCATCACTTATCCTACTTTCAAGTCAGGTAGCATCATTATTCTTTGTGTTTCAGTATATTTTATAGTTTCATAAATAACTGTGGAGGATGCTATGCTAGAGGAGGCGTCATATTATATAGTATGGATTTTTTAGATAGAACCAAAGTGTATCCTGGATTGCACCATTCTTTTGTAAGGTGAATGTTTGAATGTTTTACGTCATTTAACACTGGATGTGTGTTGTTGTTTTTTGAAATTACTCAAAATAATTTTTAGAGAATGGGCTCAGTTGAACTCCCCCACTAAAGAGTTTCTTTGAACTACTAACAAGCAAATTGGAATGCCTTCTTTGAACCCTCCTAAGTAAATTAACATGCCTTAAAAATGGGCATGAAAATGAGATTGAGCCACAATGTCAGTGTGCCTGTGTGTATCCATCAAAATAGGTAGAGGTATGCTGCAGCAGTAAACTTAAAAACTCACTGACTGAAAGCAGTGAAGTTTAGTTTTTGTGTATGCTGTGTGTTCATTGTAATTTAAAAGAAATGCTGTCCTTGTTGTAGTCACTGAGGGACTCAGCCTGAGGAAGGTTCTGTCTATACATGCTTCTTCAATTCCAAAGCTGAGAAAAAAGTAGTAAGTCTTTTGATACTCTTAAAACTTCTGCCTGAAAATGATACAGTTCACCTTGGCAAGAGTATCCACCTGAGTTGAACAGGTTCATAATCCTCATACAGAGGACAAGACTTGATATTGATATATTTGCAAACATTACAACAGTTTATCATTCTATTCTAAATGATCATTTATAAATCATTTATAGTTACTACCTTAAACTTGCTGAGTATTTGTTTAAAACTAACCATGGGAAGAAAATGAGCTGTTTTCACCAAATGATAACATGATTAGCTTTGGAACACATATTGACAGTGCGTGGAGCACACTCAAACACCCTTAACACAAGTCTACATCATCCAAGTGATGCAGGAACTGTTTTACAGTGACATGACTCAGGCAGTGTGGACAGGGAGTGACAGTGTTGCACAGGCTGACTACCGGTAAATACACATTTGTAGGTCAGCCAGGACAGCTCATACGTGTGATAAGTATACCACTGTTCAGATTTTAATATTTTTTCCTTTTTTGGTGGAACTTAAAATTTTTAAATATATAATTGTATAAAATATTAAGAGAGCCGGGCACGGTGGCTCAAACCTGCAATCCCAGCACTTTGGGAGGCTAAGGCGAGAGGATTACCTGAGCCCAGTGGTTCAAGACCAACCTGGGCAAGTTGGCAAGACCTCATTTCTACAATAAATTAAAAGATTAGCCAGGCTTTATGATGCACGCCTGCAGTTCCAGCTACTTGGAAGGCTGAGGCAGAATGATTGCTTGAACCCAGAAGGTCGAGTCTGTGGTGTCTGTGAACATGTCACTGCAGTCCAGCCTGGGTGACAGAGTGAGATTCCAGCTAAAAAAGAGAAAAAAAAATAAGAGAAAACTGAGTGCTACAAATTGCTAATAGTTTAAATAATAAATATAAGTAGACCCATTAGAGATAATTGCCAAAATTCATACCAACATGAAAATATTATAACTTGTAAAAATTCAGGTTATTCATTTAATGTTTTTTAATATCACAAATTAGCTATTATTTAATTATTTCTGAATACTGTTTTCCTATCCTTTTTTTTTTTCTTTTAGGTATGGCTGATTTTTCCAAAATATTTTGTGAAACTTCTCAGAAGCTTGTGAGTGTGGAAGCCTTTGCTCTGGCTGCAAAATATTATTCTGTACAAAACTTGGGAATATGTACTCCTTTTGAACAGTTGCTCATAGCTCTTCGAGGAAATCAAAATCAAAGAACTGGTATGTGTATTTCTATGTGTTTGTATATGCTTTTTAGGGTGCTTAGAAGCAATATGTTGTTCATTTATGTATATCTTTTAAGAAAATTCTTAATTTATTACTAGACGTTAATACATAATTCCTGACAAATTAACTTGTACCTAGAAAAGTAGACTTTCTCTTGTACTCTTTTAAACAGCATATTATAGATCTCCAGATTTTTTTCCTACATTAAGTTCCTTGGCAACTTTTACTGCCCCTCAGATGTAGATCTCAGTGGGCTACTATACATTCTAAAATCCTTACATTTATTTTTGTTCTTTGTTGGCTAATGTTCTTCATGACCGTTTCTGTGGGAAGAGTGGAAGGGGACTGGTAGGGATGTGGGGATGTCAGAAAGTGGGAATGATACAAATAAAGAAATAGTGACATGGTAGATGAAAACTCAGTCATATCAATGTTTATATTAAAATAGTTGACTGTACATGCCAATCAAAAGGCAGAGATCAGAAGACTGCAGTTGGAAAAAAAGCCAGTCTTCAATGCTGAGTAAAGAATCAGCTTTAATAATTATTATTGTATTAATAATAAAATAATGACTCAGATACTTTTTATCTTCCATAAAACTCTTTCATATCTATTATCTCAATTGAAGCTCATTATTTCTCCATTTTTTATTTTGAAAAGTTCCAAGCCTACAGAAAACTTATAAGAATACTACAATGAACGTTTTTTATTGCATCAAGGAGTACTTTTTTTTTAACAAGGTTTTATGGACGGTTCCAACAGGTCTGATCTTTATTATGGCAGTCAAAGAGTACTTTTAATAACCTTCTATTAATTTTAAAATTTATTTTATTATTACAAATTTTATTCATAGTAGCTAAATTAATAAAGATGTATCATCCAAACACCACAATATGATCACTATATTATTTTTACATTTAATTTCCATAGGCATTTACATCAACTGCAAAATCCTATTAAATTTTGCTTCTTTAATAGTAGAATGTTAATTTTGTTTTATTTTAATTCAGGTGAAACTGTGAAGCCAGTTGAATTTATGAATACAAAAAAATCTCATGAAGTTCAGGCAATGTCAGAACTAATAAGCAGTATTGCTGATTACTATGGAATAAAGCAGGTAAAAATATTTCCCTATATTTTTAGGTGAGAACATTACTGCCCTTTAGACATCAGATTATTTAAACATCAGTCCTTTTAAATATATACTCTCATTTCCCGATATACTGTAATTGTTCCAAATTTACAGTAGAATTAAGACACAACTGTTAATGTTTTGTTACAGTTTCAAGTTTTTTCAGAGTAAATAGAAGTTAAGGATAATTCTCTTTGATATGTTGTCAGTCCAGCTTGGGGCAGCATTAGGAACATAACATTCTTCAAAATTGCTGCTATTAGATGTTTTCAGAATATGGGTTGCCTAGCTGTGGTCTGATACACCAGTCTCATTATTGTAACACAAAGTAATTATGTTTTTAAGACTTGGATTCTTTCATAGTATCTGACTCACTATGCATTCCTTCTTTGAAAAATAGCTTTTTTGAAAGGTGGTGTCTGAAAATAGATATTAAATAAAATTAACAATTGTCCATATTGGCCTGTAAAAAGAGTAAATTGTTTTTCTTATCACTACAAGAAAATCTGTGAGAGTCATGGGAGATTTTCTCTCCTATGATTTTTATTAGATATTAGAATCTTTTCTGTGGCTTCACCCAAACGTGTGGAGAGTTTGAGGATGATTAGAAAACTGTGATATCTTGGGCTAGATATGCACCTCTTGTTGCAACATAGATTTCTAGGATAGGGGCTGGAGGCAAGAGCTAAGGCAATTCTAGTTTTTGACCTTTTCTCTAGAGTATCATACCTAAGCAATACCTATCAGTATGCGAGCATTCTCACCATAGTAGTGATACTCAGCTGGAATAGAAGGGGCAAATACACCCCCCCATATCCTTCCCTTATGGTGCCATATCAGAATCTTGGGGGCAAGTACTATTTCTAAATATCCTTCAGGTGCCTACTAACAGCCATTAAGAGCAATAATAATGGGAATGGGCTCCACAGAAACAAATGCATTTCTTAGTTAGAGTTCTGAGAGGCATAACAAGATCAGGTTTAAAGCTTAAATAAATAATGGCAAGTCCACTGTAGAAGACAGAGCCCTAAAGACAGAAAATTGAGATAATTGGTAGTCAGGCAAGCCAGATACAGGTCTTCTACATGAATAGTGTGAATCCAGTAACAGAGTAGGAGAATGGGATGAAGGTTCAGTCCTGAGAAGACTGGTCTGAATGAAGCACAGCAACAGAGATCATAAGAAATGGGCTCAGATTTTGTATAGAAACCAAGGCAAAAACCCAGTCATTTAGTTTGGGAAGCAGAAGCAGGGAAATAGAGAAGTTGCAAAAAGCATAATATATATTCCATGCAAGGGATTTCTATCAGGATTCCTGTGGGCTTAATTTTACAGATTTTTCTGTCCATTACAAATACAATGACATATTATTGTGTAAGATTTCTTTACTCACTAAATAATGAGACCTAACTGCATTCAAGCCAATGTGCAAAATTTGTCCACAATCCCAATTTATTGAGATATAAATGAATTCATGTTAATTATACAGTGTGATGAGTTTTGTTAGTATGCTTATATGTATCTATATATACATATTCATGTAACCTCCAAAATCAAGAAAACATAATGTTTCCATAGGCTAAAAAATTCTCATTATGTCTGTTGGCAAGGGATATTCTTGCACCTCCCTAGTGGGAGTATATATTGATACAACCACTTTGAAAAACAGTTTGACACTGTTTTGTAAACCTGAACAATTGTATGCCCTATGACTCATCAATTCAACTTTAGGTGTGTACTCTCTCCTAGAGAAACTTTGCACACAAGCATTAGAAATTATATACAATACAAGAACGTTCCTAAGAGCAGAAAAGTAATAATAAACCAGATGTTTTTCCTGGGAAATTGGGTAAACTGTGGCATATTTACATATAGGAACATAATACATCAGTTAAACTTAAACTACTACTGTACATAAAGTATACAACCTAAATACTCCTAGACCTTTTTATTTTGTGGTGTGCCAGACAGGTTTCTACCTGGTAACATCTGTGTTTCTTCCCCATGTGTTTTCTCTGAATACTGAAGCAAGCACTGCCCACATACAAGTTCTGGGAATTAATTCCTCCCTGTTAGCAACTTTGAGCAAGTAATTGATGCAACATTTCAGGGGGTTGATTCTGAGATACTGTATGTATTCTACACTTAGGTCTCAGAATTTCCTAGTGGAATTAAACTCAAATTGTTTGAATTTGGTATCTTGCTTAATAATATACCTTTTATTGGGATGCTTTCTTTCTCTTTTTCTCTTTTCTACTTCCCTACCAGTGTTCTTTTAAGTTCCCAAATAAATCACTTATATGTAATATCCCATTGTGTATATATTTCACATTTTCTTTATCTGTTAATACAATGATGGGCACTAAGGGTGATTCCATATTTTGACTATTGTGAATAATGCTCCAATAAACGTGGGAGTGCAGATTATCTCTTCAATATGTTAATTTTATTTGTTTTTGATATAGTCTCAATAGTGAAATTGTTGGGTCATATGGTAGTTCTATTTTTAGTTTTTTGAGGAACCTCTATACTGGTTTCCATAGTGGCTGTTCCAATTTGCATTCTTACCAGTAGTGTGTAAGAGTTCCCCTTTCTCTACATTCTCACCAACACTTATCTTTTGCTTATTGATAATAGCCATTTTAACTGGGGTGAGATGATAGTTCATTATAGTTTTTATTTGCATTTATTTGATGATTAATGATGTTGAACATTTTTTATATTACTATTAGCCATTTGTGTTTCTTCTTTTGAGAGATATCTATTCAGGTATTTTGCATGTTTTTAAAAATTGGATTAATTACCTTTTTCCTATTGAGTTGTTTGAGCTCCTTATATATTCTAGTTATTAATTCCTTGTCAAATGGGTAGTTTGTACACATTTTCTCCAATCTGATCTGTGAGTTGTTTCTTTATTCTGTTGTTTGTTTACTTTGCTATATAGAATCTTTTTAGCTTGATGTGACCCTATTTTTGTCCATTTTCCATTTTTGCTTTGATTGGCTGTGTTTTTGAGACCCTACTCAAGAAATCTTTTCCTAGACTAATGCTGTGAAATTTTTCCTCAATGTTTTCTCCTTGTAATTACATAGATTCTGGTCTTAGATTTGGGTCTTTGATTAATTTTGATTTGTGTACATGGTAAGAGATAGGGTTCTATTTTCATTCTTCTGCATATGGATATTCAGTTTTCCAGCATCATTTATTGAATAGATTGTCCTTTCCCCAATGTATGTTCTTGGCACCTTTGTTGAAAATCAGTTGACTGTAAATGCATGTATTCATTTCTGGGTTCTCTGCTGTGTTCCATTGGTCTATGTGTCTATTTTTATTTCAGTGTCAAGCTGTTTTGGTTACTATAATTTTACAGTATAGTTTAAGTCAGGTAATGTGATACCTCTGGTTTTGTTCTTTTTGCTCAGGATTGCTTTAGCTATTCTGGGTCTTTTGGGGTTACATATAAATTTTAGAATTATTTTTTTCTGTTTCTTTTGAAGAATGTCATTGATACTTTAATAGGGATTGAATTTACTCTGTAGATTCCTTTGGAATTTTAACAGTATTTTTAGCAATATTGATTTTTGTAATTCATGAACATTGAATATCTTTTGTGTGTGTGTGTGTCCTCTTTAATTTCTTTCATTAATGCTGTAGTGTTTTCATTGTAGGTCTACTTCTTTTGTTGAATTTATTCCTAGGTATTTTATTTTATTTCTAGCCATTGTAAATGAGATAATTTGCTTTGTTTCTTTTTCAGATTGGTTGCTGTTAGCCTATAGAAATGCTACTGATTTTCATTTATTGATTTCGTATTCTACAACTTTCCTGAATTTGTTTATGAGTTGTAATAGTTTTTTTAGTGGAATCTTTAGGTTTTTCTAAATATAAGATTTTGTCATCTGAAAACAAGGCTAATTTGACTTCTTCATTTCCAATTTGTGTGTCCTTTATTTCCTCCTCTTTTTTAATAGCTCTGGCTAGGACTTCTAATACTGTCATGAATAAAAATGTACATTATTGTCTTGTTCCATATCTTAGAGGAAAGGCTTTCAGTTTTTCTCCATTTAATATGATATTAGGAATGGGTTTCTTGGGTTTTTAGCATTTTGAAGTATGTTTCCTGTATACCAATTTCTTGAGAATTTTTTTCATAAAGGAATGTTGAACTATGTCAAATGCTTTTTTGGGGCATTGAAGCGATCATATAGTTTTTGTCCTTCATTCTGTTGATGTAATGAGTCATATTTATAGATTAAGTATGTTAAACCATCCTTGTATCCTTGGGATGAATCCCACTTCATCATGTTGTTTAGTTTGCTAGTATTTTGTTGAGGATTTTCGCATGTGTGTTCATCAAATATATTGGCCTGTAGATTTCTTTTGTTGTGTCTTTGTCTGGTTTTGATATCAGGATAACATATTCCTGGTAGAATGAGTTTGGAAGTATTTCCTCCTCCTTGACTTTTTGGGAAAGTTTGAGTAGGATTGGAAGTAAATCTTCTTTAAATGTTTGGTAGAATTCAGCATGAAAGCATTTTTATCCTGGGCTTTTCTTTGATGGGAGACATTTTATTGCTGCTTCTATCTCATTCCTTGCTGCTGGTCTGTTCAGGTTTAGATTTCTTCATGGTTCAGTCTTGGCAGGTTGTATGTGTTTTACAATTTATCCATTTTTTCTAGGCTTTCCAATTTATCCTTGATCCTTTGAGTTTCTCTGGTATCAGTTGTAATGTATCCCTTTTTGCCTCTGATTTTTATTTATTTGAGTGTTCTTTGTTTTTTTTTTTTCTTAGTCTGATTAAACATTTTAATTTGTTTGTCTTTTGAGAAAAACAACTTTTTATTTTGTTGATCTTTTGTATATTTTTCAGTTTCAATTTTATTTACTACTGCTGTGATCTTTATTATTTATTTTCCTTTACTAATTTAGGGTTTGGTTTGCTCTTGCTTTTCTAGTTTTAAAAATACATCATTAGGTTGTGTAT